AGAGTGAATCACTTCAAACTGCATAAAGGAGGTTTATAACATGCTATAACAAGGCTTATGTTTGCCTAATTTCTGCCACTTTTTGGTGCTCTAGCATTTCTTAGGGTTGGAATCCCTGCAATTCAACCACTCTGTGAAATGATTCCCTGGAAGTGTTCAAGGCAGGACTGGAGGTGACATTCAGTGCTGTGGTTGAGCTGACAAGTGGTGATGGGTCACAGGTTGGACTCGATGATCCTGAAGGTGTTTTCCAACCTGGTTGATTCTGTAATTCTGTGATTTGGATCTGATTCAACATCTGAAGAGCTGCACGTGGAGTTTGAAGGGCACTTGATAGAAAACCTCCACACTCAATTACATGGACAAAAACAATTCTGAGGTATTTGTTTCAGGTTTAGTGTTCACACAGAATCCTTTGGGTTGGGAAAGAGCTCCATGGTCCTCATGTCCAACCTTATCCCCTTGGCAGGGGTTGGGACTGGATGAGCTTTAAGGTCCTTTCTAACCCAAACCATTCTATGATGTTTCCATGATCTTTGCAGTATCAGATTTTGCAAATTTATCCTAACTGGCTTTATGTTTGGCTTCTTAATACCATAAATGTTACCCTGTTATTCATATCATATCTAATAGATCTGACTCCAGACTATTAGTATCTAATTTAAATTCCTTTTTACTTTGTCCCAAGTTTTGTATTTCCTCACTTGACTAAGAGATTGTTAAGGTAAACATTAGCAGCTGAATGTGCAGAGAGGCTGCTTAAAACACATTTCAAGAAGGGGAGAGAGAAGCATTAAAAATTGAAAACATACTTTCAGCATATGAAAATGAAGGAGAAATTTTCCATGGGGGGAAGGGGTCAAGGGGGATAAAGGGGGGAAAGAATTCAGTGTAGTTATGCATAGTTCTCCAGTGAAATATTTGTGAAGATACTGTAATGAAACTGGACTGCAAAGCAAATGTAAAAGGCATGTCTTGGCCCACAGAAAAAAGGAGCCACTGATTTAGATGTGGAAAGTTGTGTTGCTCGTGGTGAGATAACATGAGTTGTCTGGAGTTAGGAGATTACAGAGAGGAGGTATTTATTACATGGGTTGATGAAAATCAGGTCTTTGGATAGACTCCAGTGTCCAGAATACTTGGGATTTGGTCCAAACTCCAACTCTTTTCTATCCCAATCCAGAGTACTTCAGATAGAGGAGCTGGATGGAGAATGGTGCATCAAGAGATGAGGTTTTTCTGCAGTTACAGAATCATGGAAGCATTTTGGTTGGAAAACACTTCTAAGGTCATGGAGTTCAACCTATGACCTAACACCACCATGTCAACTAGACCATGGCACCAAGTGCTACATCCAGTGTCTCATTAAACACCTCCAGGGATGGTGACTCCACCACCTCCCTGGGCAGCCCCTTCCAGTGCCTGACAGCCCTTTCCATGAAGAAATTCCTCCTGATGTTCAACCTGAACCTCCCATGGCACCACTTGAGGCCATTTCCTCTTGTCCTGTCAAGCTGGGAGTCTCTGGACCAGTAAGAAGTGTGGAGTTTTGAGTAGTCTGGGGTTAGGCAGTCACATGAAATAAGGCACAGGAAGTTTCCATGGGTGGTTTAGTGAAGAATTTCTGTACCCAAACTGGGCTGACCATAGAATCTCAGACTGGTTTGGGTTGGAAGGACCTTAAAGCTCATCCCATCCTATCCCACCCCCTGCCCTGGGCAGGGACACCTCCCACCAGCCCAGGCTGCTCCAACCCCATCCAACCTGGGCTGGAACACTCCCAGGGATGGAGCAGCCACAGCTGCTCTGGGCAAGCTGTGCCAGAGTCTCAGCACCTTCCCAGCCAAGAATTCCTCCCCAATCTCTAACCCCACTCTCTCTCATAAAGATATTTCAATCGTTTCCACAGAAGAAGCAGTTAAGGAAATTTTTTTGCTCCTTTCAGTCCTATGTGCAGTACAGCAAAAGGTTTATCTGATTAGCTGGTGATAAGTATTGTAGTGGAGATGGAAAGGGACATGAGCTGAGTCAAGGCACTGCAGAAACAGGAGAAATATAAGATTGTTTCAGAATATCTCTCTCAAAAAAAAAAAAAAAAGGCAATTGATGGATATTATTTGCTTGTAATGGATCCAGTGCAGTTGCCTTAAATAGCAACATGAGCCAGAGCAAGGCCTGGCTAAGGGCTGAGCAACTTTCCCTGCACTGTGTGCTCCCAGGGCTTTAAATCTGTATTTTCTGTTCCTGGTTTTATTGTATTACAGAAGGTTAATTCTCATTCAGCATAACAGGGAAATTATTCACCTATTGTAGCCTTCCCTGAAACCTACAGGAAAAATGCCAATGCAGCTTTCAGCACCAAGGTAAATTCTGCCTTGGTTTGGTGAAACATCAACTGCTCCTTCCTTAATAAAGCCAATCAAACACCAAAATTCCAAACTGCAAACCTGAGTGAGCCCTGAACTGTTGCCAGTGCTCTCCAAATCCTATTTCTGTGTACCAGATTGGGAGATTCAAGGGTAGATTGCTTTGCTGTTGTTCCCTGTGACATTCACTGTGACCTTTGCTGGACAGGAGCAGCTCCTCAGCCTCCTTGTCCCTTCCCCTGTTCTGGCTGGGCAAGGATTACATCCTATGTAGTCTAGGAAGGTGGAAACAGATCCCTGCAAAGCAATTTCAGGCTATTCCAGAAGGCTTCATCCTGCAGCAAATCACCTCTTTATTCTGAAATCAGAGAATCATTGAGATTGGAAAAGGCCTCTCAGGTCAGGAGGGACATTGAGGGGCTGGAGCAGGTCCAGAGCAGAGCAACGAGGCTGGGGAAGGGACTGGAGCACAAGTGGCATGAGGAGAGGCTGAGGGAGCTGGGGGTGTTCAGCCTGGAGAAGAGGAGGCTCAGGGGAGACCTCATCACCCTCTGCAACTCCCTGACAGGAGGTTGGAGTCAGGTGGGGGTTGGTCTCTTCTCCCAGGCAACAGCAGCAGGACAAGAGGGCACAGACTCAAGCTCTGCCAGGGGAGGGTTAGGTTGGATATTAGGAAGAGATTTTTTCCAGAGAGAGTGCTCAGGCATTGGAATGTGCTGCCCAGGGAGGTGGTGGATTCACCATCCCTGGAGGTTTTCAAGCTGAGACTGGATGTGGCACTTAGTGCCATGGGCTAGTGACCACGGTAGGGTTGGACTTGATGATCTTGGAGGTCTTTTCCCACCTGGCTGAGTCTATGATCAAGTCCAACCTGTGCCTTAGATTTCAGCACTGTAGGGAAGGGGATCTGTCCAGCTCCTTCTATTCCATGTTATCTTGGAAATACCCTAGTGATTTTCTTTCTTTACGGAGCATTTTGAACTTCACATTCATAAGCAGCACATCTAAAGAGAATCTACTGTGTTAGGGTACTTAAGGGAACATTTCCAGGGCTATATTTATGCCTCTATGGTCTTCCTTTAGTGATCTTGGAGGAAGGAGCTGTTACTACTGGTAAATATAGATACAATGTGGTGTTAGTGCAGAAATGTTGGATGCTAAGTCTTTATGTTCCATTTCTAGGTTAAAAACCCACTTTTTTATTGTAATCAAATCTACAGTGATGTTTACTATGTTTTAGCATGTTCAGTGTTAGGAATGAGGCAGAACTGCCATGTGATGTCAAATAAAACCTCTTCATGTCGTTACTTTAACAGTCATTAATGTCATCTTCTATTTGAGTTCCAGCTCTGTTGTTTATTCTGATGCATTTACTGTTTGAATCACATACTCCACATTTGTCTCACCTGCATTAAATGTCTAGTCTGAAGAGTTCAGTCTCACCTGCTCAACTCAAAAGACTATTTTGGAGGAATAACAGAGTTGACATCATTCAGAGCTTCTATCCTGAAGATTTACTCCCTGAGTGAATCCTGTGTGAAGAATTCTTACTGAGGACATTCATATTGTTTGATAGGTGTTGTGAGATCAGTGCATTGATGCTGTTTTCTCCCTTTTTATTGCACAGGTTTTGGTAAGGTGATGATTTTAATGGAGTTTAAACATAGACGTTTTCCATTTTTTATGGCTATTATCAACCCTAGAAGCAAATTCTTTCACATTCAGTTTTATCAACACTTTTGAAAGGGCATTAATTTAGTCATCTGCTGATAGTTCTGAACAGAAGCATATGTGAAAATACTGAAAGATACATCTTTTAGTTCACCCCAACTGTACATTAACTATTTAATAGCAGTTTGAGCTCAGTTCTATCCACATAGATATGGAATATACTGACAGGATTATATTTACTGGAAAACTCATTTTAATGGTTGCATTGACATTTAAATTTTTAAGCTCTTTAAATGGCTGCAGCTGTAAACACCTTCCTGAGTTACTGAACTGGGGTGAAAAGCTTGAGAAAATAGCTGATATTGTTTCCTGTATTTGTGTTTTTCAGGCTGTTTGATTGGAGCCAAGGAGTCATGAAAGAAACTCAAGAAGACAACTTGGATAACGAAAGGAAGCTAAAAAGAAAACAAAAAGAATGTGGCATATAAAGGGTATAATACCTGGAGGTATTGGATCTGACTCATATTTATAACAATGAGACAAGCTTTCACAAAATCCAAGTTGTCTTAGACAGTCATCAAGCTTGGAGCCATTGCTGTTGAACTAGAAATTCTCCTTTTCCCCATTCTCCTTTCTGACAGGTAACAAAGGATTGGTGAATTAGGATTTGCCCAAGTTGGAAGCACTAATTTTTTGATCCATATAGTTCATCCTTATGAATATATAAGGAGTTAAACATTGCAGATTTAATGTGGATTCTAATGGGAAAGTGACTCATTAACCAAAAAATGGCCACTTTTAAGGACTTGGTTTCAAACTGAGCTGGAGCCTCCCAATGCACTTTGTACAGTTTGGGGAAAGGTGTTGCTGCAGGGCCTGCTTTGGGAGGCCATGATGACATGTACTAAAAGGATATCATCTTACTGTTGATATCTTTGAAGACTCATAAACAGAACCAGAAAAATGAATGGTGGGAAGGAGTGTGATGGAGGGGACACGGATGGAGGGCCACCAGCAGTGCAAGTTCCCGTTGGCTGGCAGCGACGGGTGGACCAAAGTGGAGTGCTCTATATCAGGTAAGGTCATCTCAGGGAGGGCTGGCTTGGTTTGCCTTCTTGTTTTGTCAAAATACGTAGGGAATTAGTGACTCAACCCATCTTGTTTGCTCTTGTTTGTTCTTTAGCAAGTGTAAGATCATTTTTGAAGCTGAAGGAAGGACCTGGATTTAGATTTAGGTCCCTAAGTCCAAGATACTAGGAAGAGCTTCTTCCCTGTGAGGTGCTGAGGCTCTGGCACAGGTTGCCCAGAGCAGCTGTGGCTGCTCCATCCCTGGGAGTGTTCCAGGCCAGGTTGGATGGGGTTGGAGCACCCTGGGCTGGTGGGAGGTGTCCCTGCCCAGGGCAGGGGGTGGGACTGGATAGGCTTTATGGTCTCTTCCAACTCAAACCAGTCTGAGGTTCTGTGATAAAGCAAGGAGTAGAACAACAGGAGCTTTAAGAGTCTTCCCATCCCAAACCAACCTGGGATTCTTTCGAAAAGAAATTTGTTAGGTGACTCCTTAGGACCTGAAGAAAACATTAGGTTTTTTTATGCCCATGAAGGTTCTGTGTTCAGTGTCACTGATGTTCTCCAGCAGCATTTACTTCCATGGATTCCTCACATTTCTCATGCACATAAAAATCAGGAACATAAGCCTAACCCCAAAGTTTTAGGTACTATATTTGTTTATTTTGTTAGCTTATTGGCTTTTTTTTTTAATTTTACTTCTCCCTGGAACAGTCAGAGAGAAATGCATTGAAATTGCTATTAAATAAATGTGTTCAGATGCAGAGACTATAAATTAAATGTTATTGGAGAAAAGATCAAAGTTAGTTGCAACAAAATATGGTTTACATGGCAGAAGTCTACATGATTATCAGTCTGTTCTTTGCTTAATCTCATTCCTCTGCCCTGTGATTAAAATAACCACTTCTTCACAACACTTTGTGTATTACCAGTACCAAACCCTTTGATGAGTCAAAGCCTACTCCAATTTTACACTAAACTACCATAAAAGATCAGATGCATTCCAGGATTTCTTGTTTATGTGCTCAATTAGCAGAATCAAACCCAATCCATGTCAGTGATACCCATGTCAAGGATAAATCACCTTCCCCTTGGATTCCTCATTACAGCTGTAATTTACTGAGCCTCTGCCTTAGTTAAAAATCAATGAGAAAGGAAAAGTTGTGGGTGGGTTGTTGTTTCTCCCAATCAGCTCTCTATCCAGACACCAGGATATATAATGCTTCAGTGTCCTTATTTTTAGTCCATTAAAGGCACAGGGTAGGATATGTTAGTAGTAGGATATAATCCAACCTCCTGCTTGGCATGGAGTGTCCACAGTGCTCCACCAGGTCAGCCCTTGGCCTCACCAGCATCAAGGTTTGAGTTTCCACAACCTGCTCTAGTCCTGCACAGCATCTGTGGAGACAAGGAAAGGTCAAACAGTATTGACTCAAAAGCTATTCAAGGGAAAATGAGTGGATATATTAAGGTCTGACATGATTTAGCTGGAGTAGATGATCCCAGCTGAATAGACTCGTTCTGTTTGGGCTTCCTTGTGAAGCACACATGCTGCTCTGGCAGCTGTCAGCAGTTGCTGTGGATTAAATCAAGATTAAGTCCATTAATTAACTAGTTTTTATTACCTGGTAAAAGCATTTGGTTGAATCTCAGTACTTTTCTTAGCCAAACTGTGCTGCTGCCTTAGAGCAGGACCTAAACCATCCCTGGGAGTGTTCCAGGCCAGGTTGGATGGGCTTGGAGCAGCCTGGGCTGGTGGGAGGTGTCCCTGCCCAGGGCAGGGGGTGGAATGAGATGATCTTGAAGGTCCTTTGCAGCCCAAACCCTTCTGGGATTCCATGATCCTATGGAGGTTTCTAACAGAGGAAGCTGTGGATTGTCCTCTAGAAGCATGAGGAGATTTGTGCACACACAAAAAATCTTTGCAGTCACAGCTCTGCCCAGGAATGAGGCAGAAACAGGAAAAAAAATGGGCATTTTGGAAATTCTGTTGTTTCTTGTGGCCAAATCTGTGTAGTAGGGATGGTGCATCCCACATTCCATGGATTCAGGGGACTGACCTGCCTTTGCACCCACTGCTTGTCAGTGCAGGACCTGTGTGCCTCACCCTGAGCCTGAACTGGCTATGTGCACCCAAGGAAACAGCACAAAAAGGTTATTTCATTGCTTTATTCTAGAAATATTCTAGGAAAAGGAGCCTTTCTTTAAGCAGTGCAAATAAAGTGGCATGCTGGCTGCTGAGCATATTCCCAGGGATACCTTTTAACAGGAGTTTTTAAGCATCACCAAGTGTCTGCAGAGGTTTTGGGTGTAAATTGGATGGTGCAGAGCAAATGCCAACTGAGTTAGTCCCATGGGAATCTGTTACATCTTCAAGTGTGGATCTTGCCTGGGTTGAGTAACTCCTGTGTGCACAGTCAGGTCAGGCTGGGAAAGTCCAGAGGGATTAACCACTCAACAGCTGAAATTCAAATGAGTAAAAATAAAGAGCAGTTTCCCCTTTGCTCCCCAAATACTCCAGTTTAGGACAGGGGAGGTTTGGCTTCCTGACCTGTCACTTCAGGCCTGTTCCATCATTTTTAGTTTGCTCTTGTATCTTCCTTACCTTACACATATTCAGCCTGAGCACTTGTCCCAAAAATAACTAGTTCAGGGCAAGTCTGGCAAATAAGTGACTTCTTTAAACTGTCTGTGTGACTTTAGATGCTACTTGCAGATGTTGCTTGAGATGTCACTTGGTGCTGGTGCAGAATGAGGTGTTTATACTTTGGGGGTTAAGTACCAAAGTTCATCATAGTTTGAGTGTTTTCATCACCCAAACTGTTCCACTTGAGTTGTTTTTTTGTTAAAATTAAGACTGTTTACAGCTGCCATTGGGAACTGTGGTTTAGCCAGTGCTCATGAATTGCTGTATCCCTTCCCTGACAAACACTTCAGCTGGCTCAGTGCAAAGGAGCAGTCTGGAAGTTGGAAGCTGGTGACACAAGAACCTTATTCCATTTTATGAATTAGTGATTTTGTCATAACAGAGTTTCCAGTGTCCTGTTTTTGGGTATGGAGGTAGTGATTTTCAGGTGGGAGTTGGAGAAATCCAAGTGCAGTGTATCAGGAGCTCTCTGGAATGGCTCCTTGGTGGAATCTTTCTCACTTTCAGTGAGAGGGTCGAAGTTTTAGCTGAATAAAGCCAAACTTAAGAGACCTGACTGCAGCAAATGTGTGTCCTTTAAAATGTGTTTGGGTTTTGGGAGGGTTTTATGAGGATTATCTTGGTTCTGGACTAACATGTTAGCTGTGTTGTTTCACCCACTCTCCATGTGAGCTGTTGGACTGGCAACGTCAAATCATGACCTATCAAATACCTTCTGTTCATCCTCTCTGTTCCTTTACAGTCCCAGTGGGTCTTTATTATCCTGCTTGGAGCAGGTGAAGACTTACTTGCTGACTGATGGAACATGCAAGTGTGGCCTAGAATGTCCTCTTGTTCTTCCCAAGGTAAAGCAAAGCCTCATTTTGGGTCTCTGTGCTGTGATACTGATGAGCTAACGATGTCAGCTCATGTGCTGTGCCATGGCTTAGTCTCTGGTCAGATCATACGTAGAAAATAAGTGGTGTACACTCAAAGACAGAGCAGAAAATACAAAATTAATCTGCCTTCTACCCTCTTGGTTATTATATATATATTCCCTCTTTATTTATCATTTCCAAACACCTGTCAAGGTATCACTTGGGCAATGTAGGAGCATCTCTAAGGGACAAAAGCTAATTTCAATCTATGTAAAACACCTAATTTAGGTATATTTAGTGATTTGCTGCCTATAGTCATTATTTGACACGCTGGAATTGTTGCTTCCAGGTGTTTAATTTTGATCCTGGAGCTGCTGTGAAGCAGAGAACTGCTGAAGATGTCAAAGCGGACGAAGATGTCACCAAACTATGCATCCACAAAAGGAAGATTATTGCTGTGGCCACACTTCATAAAAGCATGGAAGCACCACATCCTTCACTGGTTCTGACTAGTCCTGGTGGTGGAACAAGTGAGTACAATTCAGATCATGCAGAATCATCTCATAATCTCATTTTAAGAGTGTGTTTTTACTATGCAAAACCATCCCCAAAAGTCTGAATGTGTCTCAGAGAGAAATAGTAAACAGATTTGAGGAGAGAGTGATCAGAGATATGAAGGTAGATAGAAAATGAGTCTAAAAGCAGGTCAGACTAAGAGCAGGATTTTCTTGGAAAGGATATCAGATTGTTCTAGACAAAGGAAATACATTAGCTCTCATCTTTTGGAACTGTAGTAATATGTCTGATATTCTGTCACATGGGAAATTAGAGGAGCAGAATCAAGTGATTACGAAGGGATTAGAATGTGGCTAAGGACTTGGCTAAATGGGAAATTGTATTGTAGAGGAGAATACACAGCAAGAGGAGATCTCCACTGTGATGTCTCGAGGATTATTTTGGGGCACCAACCTGGATTAGCATTTTAATTATCCATGTCAACAAACAAATGAGGTAATTTGGTGGTGGTTGAAGTTGACAGGTATCATTTAAACAAGATCAAAACACATTATAAATCTAGATCACAGACCTGGAGTGCAGGAAAAGGTGTAACAACAGATGCTGTTGACTGTGAGGTTATTCACCTGGAGCCTAGTGAAAAAAAAAGCTGTTAGCTGGGAATTATTGAGAGAGGAGCCCTAGGTAGTAGTGATCAAAGGTGGCTGTGAGCAGGACCAGGGGCAGAGCAGTGTGAGCTGCAAGTGCCAGCAGCACTCAGGCACAGCCTTTCCTCCTGGTGATCCCCAAAACCTGCTGTGTGGAGCTCACCTAGGAGTGTTTAGCTTGTTCAGCCCAGCAAAGTGGTGGCTGAAAGGAGATGGTGCCATCAACAAAGGCATCAGGAGGCTCAGCACCTGAAAATTAAACTGCTGAGGCTAAGGGACAAAGTCAGCACTGAAACAAACCCACAGACTTACCCTGAAATTAGGCACTTTGTAAGGATCACTGGAAAAGGTTCTGCAGGAGACTTACAAATCCAGATGGTCAGAACCAAGGAGAGAAGGCTACTGGGTTTGTGGTTCTGTACTGGGATTTATGGAGCTTTGGGAAATAGCTTCAACGTGGAAACTTGTAAGAATATAGAGCAATAATCCACTGTTGGTACATAGGCAGTGCTCAGGTGCCTGTGCTGTTCATGGGACTCCTGTGCCTCTGCATTTTCAAACTGAAATGTAGGATTTTAAACCTCTGCTCGAATTTTTCTCAATGTAATTTGTGTTTTAACTAACCACAATTTCCCAAGTTGCTGTGTATTTTCCTCCTTAATTTTTTAATGAACAGTACATAAACTACATTTCTGTTTTCAAAAACTTAGCAAAATGGAAGTAGAAACAGGTAAAAGACAAACCAGCTAAACATGAAAGCCACAAGTGACATTTATGTGCTTTTACCTTCTCTGTTGGTCAGAATTTTGTGCAATAAGCAAAGAAGAAATTTTCCCAATCAATTGCCTTTGCAAGCAAAATCTTTCTTCATTTTTGCTCACTTCCATGTGACCATTTGCTTAGTTCCAGCATTCAAGGTGAGGCCTCTCAATCACATTTTATTTTGCAGTTCAACCTTGAGTTTTGTCCCCTAAATGAGACTTTGGTTGTATTTTGGGACAGGTAATGTGTTTGTTTCTGTCAGGATGTAGCTGGTTGAGCAAACAGGATGAAGGTAGGATTGGCAGTGCCATCTGCTGTGGCCAGGCCGAAGGAAAGATGGGAATTGAGTTCTTGTGAGTAAGGAATTGCAAAGCACTTCTGAGTTCATCGGAACATGAGATTTTTAGCTCAGGATTCAAGTTGAAGTTTGCATATTCAGAGGCTGAATGACAAATCCCCAGAGCAGCAAAACTGGCAGAAAGTCTCCCAGACTTGGAGCTGCTTGTGATGATATTCTGGAAGTAAAACATGGCAAAAAACCCTCTTTTTAAATAAAGCTGGAAGATGGCCTGGTGTTTGTGGGAAGGTCTGGGCTCACAGGTGGGATTTACAGGGAATTTCTCCACTGTAGAGGGGTTCATATATCTGTGGGTGCAAATATCCCCTGAAAACAAGAGTCCCTGCTCAGGGGCTGTGTTAGGGGCAGGACCCTGTTCTCTGTAGGGCTCAGAGAAATGAGTCTCAGCCCTGGCTGAGCTTTGTTCCTCCTGTCCTCAATAGATGGTGCCAGAGACTCCTTTTCCCTGCCACAGCACTCGCTGCTCCTCCTGCCAGAGGGTGATGGAGATTCGGGAGTAGGACACTGGAGGTGTTGGTTGGGAAGAAAAGGAAAAAGGGAAGGAACAAGGTGTAAATTTGTCCAGTGATGTGGAGCTAAGGTCTATACAGCTGTAGTAGGGTAACCCACACCATTCCAGAAGCTCCTTAGTGAGCAAAAGTTTAGCCAAAGGTTTTGTTAGCCTTTATGAAAAGTTTCACCCCCTCTAGCTGTGCCCTGAAACACGTGATATTGGGATTCCAGACAGTAACTCTTGTGTGTTTCCAACACCAGGTGCAACTCCAGTAGTTCCTACTCGAGCGGCAACTCCAAGATCCATGAGGAATAAACCCCATGAAGGAATTACAAATTCTGTGATGCCAGAATGTAAGACTCCTTTCAAGTTGATGATAGGGGCATCTAATGCCATGGGTAGGCTTTATGTGCAAGAGATGGCTGGAAGCCAGCAACAAGAACTTCATTCTGTCTATCCCAGGCAGAGATTGGGGAGTAATGAACTCGGGCAGAAGTCTCCGTACCGCGGCAGCCACGGGGGGATGCCCAGCCCGGCCTCGTCGGGATCGCAGATATACGGAGACGGCTCCATCTCTCCCAGGACTGACCCACTTGGAAGCCCTGACGTTTTCACAAGGAACAATCCCAGTTTTCATGGAGCACCCAACTCCAGTCCTATTCACATGAACAGGACCCCTCTGTCTCCACCGTCAGTAATGCTACACGGTTCTCCCATACAGTCATCCTGTGCCATGGCTGGAAGGACTAATATACCTCTTTCCCCCACCCTGACCACCAAGAGCCCAGTAATGAAAAAACCCATGTGTAACTTCTCGGCCGGTATGGAAATACCGCGAGCGATGTTTCACCACAAACCCCCCCAGGGTCCTCCTCCACCTCCTCCACCGCCTTCTTGTGCTCTTCAGAAAAAGCCATTAACATCAGAAAAGGATCCCCTCGGCATACTGGACCCAATTCCCAGCAAACCAGTGTCTCAGAACCCCGTGATCATGACCCCGACGCCTTTCCACTCGAGCGCCCACTCTCAGGTACCCGTGATGAATGTAAGCATGCCGCCCGCCGTCGTCCCCCTGCCCAGCAACCTGCCCCTGCCCACCGTCAAGCCTGGCCACATGAACCACGCGGCTCACGTTCAGAGGGTCCAGCACTCTGCCTCCACCTCCCTGTCCCCGTCGCCGGTGACGTCCCCGGTTCACATGATGGGCTCCGGGATGGGAAGGATCGAGGCTTCTCCCCAAAGATCGCGTTCTTCTTCCACGTCGTCAGACCACGGCAACTTCCTGCTGCCTCCCGTAGCGCCGCAGTCCTCCTGCAGTGCTATCAAAGTCCCTCCCAGGTCCCCGAGGTCAACAATAGGGTCCCCGAGACCATCTATGCCATCCAGCCCTTCCACCAAGCACGATGGACTTAATCAATACAAGGACATCCCTAACCCGTTAATTGCTGGAATGAGTAATGTATTAAATCCTCCCAACAATGCAGTTTTTCCCGCTGCATCTGCTGGAAGTGGTTCCTTGAAGAGTCAGCCTGGTTTGCTGGGAATGCCTTTAAATCAGATCTTGAACCAGCACAACGCTGCCTCTTTTCCAGCAAGCAGTTTACTCTCAGCAGCAGCCAAAGCACAGCTAGCAAATCAAAATAAACTTGCTGGTAACAACAACAGCAGCAGTAGCAATTCTGGACCTGTTGCCAGCGGTGGCAACAACGAAGGACACAGCACTTTAAATCCCATGTTCCCTCCTGCTGGCAACGTGCTCCTCCCCACCACGGAGGGGCAAAGCGGCCGAGCAGCACTGAGAGATAAACTGATGTCTCAGCAGAAGGATCCTCTGAGGAAAAGAAAGCAGCCAACCACCACGGTGCTGAGCCTGCTGAGACAGTCCCAGTTGGACAGTTCTGGAGTGCCCAAAGCTGGATCTGATCTGCTCCGAAAGCAAAGTCAAAGTTCCTTCCCCATCAGTTCGATGTCGCAGCTCCTTCAGTCCATGAGTTGTCAGAGCTCCCACATGAGCAGCAATAGTACCACCAGTTGTGGGAGTTCCAGTACTGCTTTGCCCTGCTCTGGTAACCAGCTGCATTTTGCAGACCCCAGTATGAACTCTGTCAGTCTCCAGAACTCGCTGGCCCAGAGTTTGCCCCTGCGAGGGGACGGGGTGCACTGCCAGAACACTAACACTAACTTTGGCCACGGTACTAGCCCAGGCACCACCAACCACCTGGCAGGGTTAATAAATCAGATGCAGGCTAGTGGGAGCTGTGGGATGCTCAGTCAGTCAGGAATGGCTTTGGGAAACTCATTACATGCGAACCCACCTCAGGCAAGACTCCAGGCACCCTCCACTCCAGTCATACCAAACAGCATTGGTAGCAGCTGTAATCAAACAAGTCCTGAAGCAGGTAGGTTCTCTCCTGAGGGGATACCCCTGGGTTTGACCACTTGGAAATATGGCATGGCTGTTTTTAAACAGGTTCCTTTTATATGGATCTACTTTTTCAACTGGAGTTTACCCACGTGAAAAGTTTGTGCTCATACACTGATACTCAAACAAATCAGAAGAGACACAAGACCTCATGGCACGTTCCAGTATCTGAATGGGCCTCCAAGGAGGCTGGAGAGGGGCTCTGCAGCAGGAACTGGAATGATAGGACAAGGGGGAATGGGTTCAAACTCAGAGAAGATAAATTTGGGTGAGATATATGGAAGGAATTCCTGGCTGTGAGGGTGGTGAGACACTGGCACAGGTTGCCCAGAGCAGCTGTGGCTGCTCCATCCCTGGGAGTGTTCCAGGCCAGGTTGGATGGGGTTGGAGCAGCCTGGGCTGGTGGGAGGTGTCCCTGCCCAGGGCAGGGAGTTGAAACAATATGGGCTTTAAGGTCCTTCCAATCCAAACCATTGTGTGCTTCAAAGAAAAAACAGTGGTAGACTAAAATGTATCTCCCTTTTTCTGGACCAAATCCTTCTGGCCTCCTTCCTTCCTGTGACAACTGGTGCTTCTGTTAACATCCACACACTCTTCATGAATAAACTCCAATGCCCTTTGGTACATACCCACACCTCTCTTCTCACTTGCCCAATAAATCCAATGGGTTTTTGCAGCATGCCCTGCTAGTCCAACCCTAGAACATGTATCACCTGGCAGTGAATGTCCTGCTGATACACATGTTCTTAAAGAGTTGGTGTTGTCAGAGATTGGAGCAGATAGAGGAGTCCCAAAATGTACAAAATTACCCTTTTCAGGGCAAGCGTGAGGAAATGCCAAGTCTGTGTTTGCCTTTATCATGATAATTTTACCAAGCTGGTAATTAAATGGTTGAAAAATCTATATTCAGCTGGAGGAGAGTGTAGAGCAAGATTTCCTGGTTTGTTCATCAGTGAAGACTTGAAACAGGTTTGCTGCTGTTACTATCTCTGGGGTGTTTAAAGATAGAAGGGAAACAGCTCAGAAATGGATGTTTCCTTTAACTGCTCGTGGCTGAGCAAAGTGTGCAGGTTTGAAATGCTGCTGTGTTACATTCTTAAGGAGAAAGCAAACCTTCCACCTGGTGTTTCAATCTTTCAGCTGGGTTGGCTTGCAGAGGAGGGTTTGATACCATCACAGCTAAGGTCCCTCAGGTCACCCCAAAGTGACCAGAGTGGTCTCACCCAGGCCAGAGCCTGATCTGTATTCCTGAGTTTCCTCCTGTAAAGTACAGCAATAGATAACATAAAAAGTGCATTATAGAAAAATCATTTGCTACTATTATGCTGGTCATGGTTTCTGGTGACTGAAGGGTTTCTCTCTGTTCCTGGGGAAAAAAAGGGGTCATTTTTCCTCAGCTGTGGTGGAGGTTTGTGTTGCAAGCAAGCAGCTTTTAATCCTTGGTGGCTCTTTGGCCTTGCCATGCTGTCACAGAGGAGTATTTCCTGATCCAATCTCTCTCCTGAGACTTTGTCCTCTCCCCTGCACAGAACAAAGCTCTGGCTTTGCCTTAGGAGTTTGCTTCCCTGTCCCACTGACACACTCCAAAGTCCCTGCAGCAGCAGCTCTTGAGGTTCCACCTCAGCTGAGGTTTGCACCACTCCTGAGGCTGCTGGTGGGTCCATGTCAAGGCTTAGTGGTGTTCCTGTGGTAGTTCAGCAGAGCCTGTGCTTGTACAAATCATCCTCACCCAAGCTGAGTTTCCTCCCAAGAAGACAAATGCAACACAACAAATCTGTGCCTGTGTCAGAGCCCCTGGAGGAAAGGTTTCAACATCACCTACTTTGGTTCTCATCAACGTGGGAGTAGTAGTAGGTGTGTAACCCCCCCGGGAGCTTCTGTTCTGCTGTGGTATTCCCAGCCCTGGAGAGAGCTGCTGGAATTATGGCAATATAGTCATTAGGCCTTAAGTGACTCTTTTTGCCTTATCTAAATGAAAAATGGTAGTTCTGTGTAGGCAGAGACTGGAAGGTTGTGAGTGTTCTGTTCCTCTCCACTGAAGACGTTTGTTTCTTTAGTTTTGATGCTTTCAAAATCCACACAACCTGCATTTAATTACTTTATGGAATAGCCATGATGGCTGCAAGCCTGGAGAGCTGTTTTCTCCCTGAAGATGAAGCTTCAGGTCGTGTTCTATGTGTGTTATTTCCTAAAGTGGTGCATCCAACCTCCTCCCTGAGGCATCCCTGGGCTCAGGCATGAGGTTTCCATCTGATCCATAGGCTGGGACAATCCAGGCAGAGGCATTTGGTTGTGTTTCCAGGAGAGTGGGAGTGTTCTGTCCGTGAAACACCTGTGAAATGTGGAGCATTTTGTGTCAGTAATAGCACTTAAAATCAAAGGGAGTTGCCATCTGCAGTGAGCTGTGTCCAAGCTGATAGGAATGGCTCTGTCCAGGGGTGTTAGCTCTGGGATGGAGCTGGTGAAAGCCCTTGGAAACTGAGTTTCCAAGAGCAGCTGAGCTGAGTAAGATGTCTGCAGGAAGCTCTCCTATTCATATTTCAGTTCGTGGCTTTTTTTTCCCCTTTGTTTTTAAGGATTTTAATTGCTCAATGAGTTTTCTGTGTCTGTGCCAACATTCAGAACAGCCACTACTCACAAAACAGCTCCTGAGAGGAAAAACACTGAGCATCCCACAATTAGCTGCTTATTGCTAAGCTTTTCATTTTATTTTAACCACATGGACCAAGTTTTGTTATTGTAACTCTGGTTTCCTTCTTCTGCAGAGATTATCTTCAGTTCCCAGGTAATTTTCACTGTGAGTGGGATGGAATTTGTTCCTTTTAGGATGGGAATGTGTCACTGGGTGATAGATCTTACTGTGGAGTTAATTTGAGGTACATGGGGTGATCCTTGGGGTGTCCTGTGCAGGGCCAAGAGTTGGACTTGAAGATCCTTGTGGGTCCTTTCCAACTCCAAATATTCTGATTCTGTTCATTTCTTCTTGCATGTGCCATGAATGTCAGTGACATGGACAGTGGATTGAG